ATTTTTCATCCCGGAATAAGATAGATCTCGCCCTGTCTCCCCAGCCCTGCCTGCAGCCTGGCAAGTCCAGCATTAACCCTTCTGCCCTGCTGCCTGCAGGCGCGGCTGCGGATCTTCCGCGGGTGCAGCCAGGCCGGGGACATCCTCCCCGCGCGCACTGAGGGGCTCAGACCCAGGGTTGGGGGGGTGTGTGTGTGTTATTTTGGCCTTGGCCAAACTCTTTGGAGGGCAGGGGAGCGGGTTCATGCCCCTCCGCGCACAGCCGCGGTGCGGGGCGCAGCGTCCCCTCCGATAATCCAGCACGTTTAAAACCTCAGGGCTCTCCCTTCTTTTTTCCTTCCCTTTCCCCCCATCCCTCCTTTTTTTTTTTTTTAATTTTTTTTTTTTTGTTCCCCCCTCCCTGTATTTTTATTTTCCTATTGCTTTTCCTATTTTTTCCCCTATTTTTTCCTCTTTATTTCGCGGGTGTCACAGGTTCCTCCTTCGGGCCCAGCGGCCGCCGAGGCCGCCAAACCTACACCCGTTACCAGACGCTGGAACTGGAGAAGGAATTTCATTTCAACCGCTACCTGACCCGGCGCCGACGGATCGAGATCGCCCATTCCCTCTGCCTGACGGAGCGGCAGATCAAAATCTGGTTCCAGAACCGCAGGATGAAGTGGAAAAAAGAGAATAAATTGCTCAACTCCTCGCAGCTGAGCGCGGAGGAGGAGGAGGAGAAAACGGCGGAGTGAAAGGCTTATTTAAAACGCACAACGACAAGAAAACAAACAACACACACACATAAAAAAATCATAAGAAAAAGGGAAAGGAAAATTGGAGAGGGAGTGAGTGGGTGTGTGAGAGAGGAGAGGATGGTGAGGGGTGTGTGGGCTGGTTGGGAGGACAGGGAAAACCTGCACATTGGTGGGACAAGCCCTCTGGAGCAGCGACAAGAGCCAGAAAGTTTGGGCCACCAATGCCATGGACTCGTGTTCCCGGTGTCGAGGGAAAAAAACCCCCAACAAACAGGCTTCTAGTTGCGGTTTTAATTTTTTATTATTATTTTTTTTGCCTTCCTAGACCTCCCTTCCCTCCCACTCCACCCCCGAAATGAAATTATAATAATGAAAAGGACAAGAGGTAGGGAGAGAAGGGGGGAAAGAAAGGAAGGGGAAGAGAAAAGACAAAAAAAAAACAGAAAAAAAAGGAAAAAAAAAAAAAAAAGCCTCCTACCCGTGTTTCTACCCTTGGTGTCACTGTTAGTAATCTGCTAACTCTTGTATTTAATGGAAGTGCTGCAATATATGTCATTTGGGGTGTTTATTGTCTTAATTTTGTAAAAATGTTTCCTGCACGGTTGACACAGAGTTTGGTTGTGTTTTGGTTTTTGTTTTTTTTCATTTTTCTATCTCCCCCCCCTCCCTTCCTTTGGTAAATTAATCAAGCCCTGGGGTCTTTGTAATGAGTTTTTTGGGTTTGTTTTGTTTCGTTTTTGTTTTGTTTTGTTTTTTGAAAGGAAAGTCTACTGAAAGAACGAGTACTACCTAAAAGGACGCAAAAAGCAACAACAAGAAGAAAAAAAAAAGAAGAAGAAAAAGTTCTATTTTATTAATTTTTGTACGTGTTGTGTTTGAAGTTTGTCTTAGGTATGAACATGGAATTCTCTAATAAAAACAAAGTCTTCGATCTCACGCACACCCCCCCTGTCATTATTATTGCTGTTATCTTGCCCTTTTCCAGGGGAATTTAAGGAGCAGAGGGTTGTAAAAAGGGAGCCCTGCTTCCCTCTGTAGGACACTGGCTTCTAATCTGCGAGGACAAGCAACTCCAAGCCCACGGAAGTGACTGTGGAGAGATAAATCTGGTTTTCCCTTCTTTTTTGTCTAATCTGAAATGGAAGACCTTTCACCAACAGTATTTCCTCGCTGACATTCTGCTTTAGTATCGCGCTGGTTTTTTTCTCTTCTTTATTGTTACAGTACAAAGAGTTATGACGAAACGTTCTCCATATACACAATAAATCAAGGAAACAGGCAAAAATATGCGCTCATTTATCTACCAAAGATACCTAACATTTGCCTAGCATCTTTCAAACATCTGGTCCCTTCCTTCATATCCCCAAATCAAAGTGAAGTGTATTGGAAAGGAAAAAAAAAAGAAAGAAAAAGAAAGAAAGAGTCCAGATTTCAAGCAAATTTGCCCTGTGAAACGAGGGGCTTCACAGCTCCGGGAATAAATCCTCTGCTTAAGGGGGAGAAAAGAAAAAAAAGGTGGAAAAAAATCTAAGCTAAGTCTTTTAAAATGGTAGATTTTTATCGTCAGTTGAAAGCGTTTTCAAAAAGCTCCTTTTGAGAAGCTGGTTCTGCTCGGGATGGGATGGGGAAGGTTCCTGCTCCCAACCAAAGAGGAATCTCGTGCCTGCAACTCAAAACTTTCCCTGGGTTTTTGGGAATGAAACGAAAGGAAATGCATTTAATTCTTTCTGCTGGGGATTTAGGACTGGAAGGAAGAGACCAGCCCGGCCGATTTCGGAGCTCGTTGTTGGGTTGGGGTTTTTTTTGCAGCTTCACGGGGGGAAATGGAGATGAAACTGCATCTCCTGCCTCCCATCCCCTCTCCCCACTCCCCCCAAGAAATACCTATGGATGAATGCATTCCCCCGTGCCACAAGCTGGTTTAATGTCAGTCACTTTTAAAATCAATTCATGCAGAAGCTTCACAGCTGTAGGACATTTACTATTATTGCCACGCTTTTCATTGCCCGTAATTATTATAATTATATGTCACTTTCAATATGGCGCATAATTTCCAATGAGTTGCAGACAAGCACATGAAATTCCTAAACTGCCTTGGAAAAAAAGAAAAGAGAGAGAGAGAGAGAGAGAAAGAAGAAAAAAATAAGGAAACTAATGCTTAACACAGCAGAGCTCTTTCACAACGTTTTTACCAATTTCAGAGTGCTTTTGCTCCCCAATATTCCTTGCAGGTTAGCAAGTGGAAAGGAAAACCCACGTAGCAAAATGCTGTGTTCAGAGAGGACGTGAAACGCTCAGGAACAAGAATATCCAAAAAGCAACGTTGTCAACCAGTTCCACCGGCTGGACTTTTCCTTTATTTCCATCCCTTCCCTATTTCTCCTCCTTTTTTTTTTTCCCACCCCCCACCCCTGCAGCAGGAAGGTGAGACCGCATCGCCGGCCCCGCGCTCAGCGAGCAACAAACCTCCACTTCTCGGACAAGAACCACGCGAAATAACCCCCGAGCAGCCACGCTCCCCCTCACCCCACGCCCTAGAGCAGCTTCTCCTTGGCTCCCACCCTCCTTTTCCTTTCTCCCCCAGCTCAGATATTAAAAGGAGAAGACGGACCCGGCCTCCCAGCGACCCGACACCTCATCCCTCGCTGCCCCTCCAACTTCCCGGCGCTGTTAGGAACGAAGACATTCAGTTTAATAAAGAAAAAAAAAAAGGAACTAAAATAAAACAAGAAGCAAGAGAGAAGACCCACGCGGGGAGGGGCTGGGAACACACACAACCCCACCCCCCTTCCTTCCCGTTTGTTTCTTTCCCCTCCCGTTGAATTTTTAGGAAGGAAAACACCAGAAGCGGGATAAAGGGAGGGGGGTGAGGAGCAAAGGCTGGGTTTGGGGGTGCTGCCCCCCCTCCATCCTCCTCTTCTTCTTCTTCTTCCTCTCCCCCCCCCGGCTCGGGCCTTAAAACGACTCCGCGCTCGTCATTATTTGTAACCATAGAGCATGAATTACCTCTTGAGGTCATCAGTGAGAATTTACGACTGGTCAACAAAAGCACGTGATTCCCAAACGCACCCCCCACCCTCCCCCCATATTTGGCCGCATACATAGCAAAAACGAAGTACAGTGCATTGCTATAATTCATTAATACATCATAAATCGTCAAGCACAGGGTTATAACGACCACGAGCCACAAATCAAGCCCTCCAAAATAACCCAAATGAGCTCTTACTTTGTAAACTCGTTCTCAGGGCGCTACCCAAATGGCCCCGACTATCAGTTACTAAATTATGGGACCAGCAGTTCCATGAACGGTTCTTACAGAGATTCAAGCACCATGCATTCCAGCTCTTATGGCTACAACTACAATGGGATGGACCTTAGCATCAACCGCTCAGCCTCCTCTAGTCACTTTGGGGCTGTGGGGGAGAGCTCCCGCGGTTTCCCTTCTCCAGCTCAGGAGAGCAGGTTTAGACAGGCGTCTAGCTGCTCCTTATCTTCTCCCGACTCCCTTCCCTGCTCCAACAGCGAGAGCCATGGAGGCAAACCCGCCCCGTCCCCCTCCGACCAAGCTACTTCTGCCAGCACCACCAACACAAATTTCACAGAACTAGACGAGACCAGCGCGTCCTCGGGAGCCGACGAGGGCACTCCAATAAGCAGCAGCATCCCCCGAGCGCAGGCAGAGCCCATCGCAACCTCCACCGCAGCAACAGAAGGGCAGGCACCTCAGATATTCCCTTGGATGAGGAAACTTCACATTAGCCATGGTACAGCTACTTCTTCTTTTTTTTTTCTCCCCCCTCCCCCCCTTTTTTTTTTTATGTTTGCCAACTCAAAATCCAAAGTCAGAAAAAATATATATATTTAGTCAGAAGTATGTCAGTTACATTTTATTAACCTACTCCGAGGGAAAAGCTTCAGGGATTCACCATACAAGTATAAAACCCCTTTTGAACACCTGGGGGTTACTATAGAACTTCATCCCAGCAGTCAATCAATGCAGTAAAAAAATTAAAATACTGAAAATGGATGCTTTTCCACTCTTCCTTCCACGTGTCCAGTGATTGCTCCATTACAGTGTGATGAGGTCTACCAGGTTGCCTTTAGGAGGGGTCATGTTGTCTGGAAAGAAGTTGACCAGTGTATCAAACAGCTGAGTTCTCTGCGCATATGTGTGGTCAACATCTGAAAACCCTGGGGGAGAAGAAAAGGGGAAAACAAAGTCAATGCTTACTACCTGAAATGCTCAGTTGAGCTATGGAACACGCCAGTTGTCCTTTTGGGATGGATGTTAACTATTTGCTGCTTCTGCCTCAACTAACTAACCAGGCTGCCAGCTCCCCATCCCACTAATACGTGCATAAACGCATAGAGATCACGTCACCCCAAGCCAACACTGCAATCAAAATGTCTTAAAAAGTAAGAAGCAAAAGGCTGTCAAGCTTGCTGACAGTCCTCAAGAAATGGGGGAAGCCAGAGTCCTCAGGGGACTGCTCTGATGTCCTAGAAAACAAAATCTGGCGTTATTTGGGGAATAAGCAGCTTTCCTAGCTGCCCAGAAAGGCGAGTATTTTACCTCGGTGTTCAAAATCAAACTAGCCTTAAGGATGACAAAAAACCCCAGCAGAAAGCAAAAACCCAAACCCCGCTGTTGTCCGTGTTATTCAGACATGACTGGACCAGACGGGAAGAGGGCGAGGACAGCGTACACTCGCTACCAGACCCTGGAGTTGGAAAAGGAATTCCACTTCAATAGATATCTCACCCGCAGGAGGAGAATAGAGATCGCTCACGCTCTCTGCCTCTCCGAGCGCCAGATCAAAATCTGGTTCCAGAACAGGAGGATGAAATGGAAGAAGGATAATAAACTGAAAAGCATGAGCTTGGCCTCGGCGGGCAGCGCCTTTCAGCCATAAATTCTAGAGGAGGAACACCGAGGGAAGAGGAGAAGAGGGGAAGAAATGCAGAAATAAATAAATCAAGCAGAGCTTAGTTTCGGAGAACTGTACAGGGAGGCACCTTTTTTTCGGCATGTTGTTGATATTCTAAAACAACGCGTGTGGTACCGTTATCCCCGGACTGAGTTCATGTCGTGTTCTGGGTTTGGTTTGGGTTTTGTGGGTTGTTTTGGTTGTTGGTTTGTTTTGGTTTTTTTTTTTGGGGGGGGGTTACAAAAAAAAATATTAATATTTTCTTTTTAAATTAAATTTTATTTCCAGATCCTCCTCATGCTCTTGTTGTTCTTCTAAATGTGTGTGTCCGTGCTCTCTTGATGCTTTCTGGAAAGCTAGCATGTTTTATGTGAGCCCTTTAAATGTTCTAACTTATTTATAAATTGAGAACAGATACGACTGTTTGTTTATTTGCTGGGGTTCCCTCCCCCCCCCCGCTTTCCTGAGTTTCCTGCTTTTTGGGTGAGTTCTTCTCTGCCTGAGCTAAAATCGGGGGCTCCTGCACTACAGTCGCAGAGGGGAAAAAAAAAGAATCTGAAACAAACAAACAAACACAAAAAACATACAAAAAATGTATAAAAGGGGGGGAAAAAGAGGGGGTGGGGGGAAAGGAAAAAAAAAAAGAAAGAAAGAAAAGAAAAAATTCAAAAGCTCTTGTATCTTTCTGTCTAAAAATTGTCCAGTCTGTGTTTTAGTACAAACTTCAGGCCAGGGTTTCTAGTCCCAGGCTAATTCCGAGAGGTACTCTTAGACGTGGGTAAACTTCACTATTGAAACCAACACGAATAACCATCATCATCATCAATGTATAAAATAGAGTGCTCGAAGGGTTGTAAATACTAGAAATATTTCTGATGTGACTAATAGACGGTTTGTAGTGGGCAGAGTGAATGCAATGTTATGTGTAAAAATGGCATCTGTCATGTCTAGCTGCCTGTTAGTCCTTTGCCAATAAGCTTTTTGTATTTGTTTGTAGCTTTACTTGAAGTCAAATAAACGTTTCTCCTACTCACAAAGGCTCCCAGTTGCACTTTATGCACAACCTCGGGGACTTCCCAGCACATGCTCGAGCCCAGGAGATGCCTGGCACGGAGCTGGGAGCTCCCAGCAGAGCTGCAGCCTCTCCTGGGCAGCGGCAGCTCCGAAAACACCAAAGAGTCTTTCCTTTTCCCACCAAACACCCTCTTGGCACCGCACGGGAATAAACCGCGACCCTCCACCCTGCCCCGAACGCCGTTTCACCCCCAAAACAACCAACACAGACCCCCCCAACACCCCGCCGCGTCAGACAAACTGGTTCCAAGCCCTTCAAGTTGCCCACCCGCGCTATAACCGGCAGATTGAGGCGCAAGGCAGGAATTGTCAGCCCGAGACAGACACATTTCACAAGCCCAGAGGTATCTCTCTCCGCACACACGTTCCACACAAACCTGTGCTCAACACAACTACACGTCTGCGGGTTTGTGTAGATCCATCTAGTCTCTATTTCTACCTCTCTCGCTGCAACATGTCGCGATATCACACGTTTCCGTGCTCTCCCCGCTCCCTCTCGTCCTCCCTGCTCCTTCACCCCTTTTACCTCCCAACCTCCACACGTAAATCCCAGCTCGCCGCTCCCTAACTCCTCACACTTCGCTCCACCGACTCATTTTGGCCGCAGACAATTTCACATCATCAAAGATGGCAAATGTTCCCACTTCCCTACCCAGGGAATCCGCGACAACTCCGGCTTCGAGTCGCTCGCTTTGGCAAAACGCCCCGTCCCGACAACCCAACTTCGCCTGTTGTTTTGTTGTTGTTGTTGTTCGTAGCAAGTAAAGTTGGAGCTTAAAACTTACCCAACTTAATCTCCCACTGTTTAGGTACTTCTTAAGTGATTTTGAGAGGGATGTGAAGTGGACTGTCAGATCCCAAACCATTTGCTCGCCTTCCCTTGATTTTTTTTGTTCCCCTTGTTTTCATTTTCTTTTTTTTTTTACCAATAGCAAACTGTACCAAAAGTGAGGATGACATTTCGATGTCAAATGGATAGGGTTTTATCTCGAAGTTGGATCGTAAAAATCGCCCAGACCTCAGACAGATACCCCCTCACTGGCTCTCAAAAGTCACGTGAGGTCCATAAAGTTAGTTTTATGGTTTTGGGGAGTTGACAATGTACAATATATTTCACATTCTCTAGAATGTTAAGTGACACTTTAACTGCTTGGTTTGGCTTGTAAGGGGCAGCAATGGGTGAGCACTTTTCCAGATGAGATAAACGTTGCAATTGCAGGGAACATGTTTTGCGGGTCCAGTTTTCAGTCCAGGGAGCCAATAGACTGGAGTCCTGAAAGTAAGTTCTTCTGAAATATTATCTGCTTAAACTATTTTAAATGGTTGATATGGCTAAAAAAGGCTGAGCGGGGCGGAAAGAGGGTCTGTCTCTCTTTCAGAGCTTTGTTTCTCCTTTTTCCAAGGTCCTAATTCTTATCCTCCCGAGAGCTGGAATTGCATTACGTTTCCATCACAGCTTCCAGGCCCGCAAGTAAAGTTTGTGGAAGGGGGGAAATCAGGGGGCAAAAATCGGTATAGATTCATGATCATGGCAAAGCCAACTCCGTCCTGGCGCTGCCGGGGACGTGTGGACTTCAGACCAAGTTTGGGTTTGTCCTTCGCCATGTGAAAAAGCTCTTGCTGGGTGACGGGAGGTGGTTTCGGGGTGGTTTCTCCTGCTCGCAAACAGCCACGAACCTGCCCCGTGTCTTTGCATTTCAATTAACGAGATTCTGTCTGTGCTCTTCAGGTTGTTAACACCTTGGGACTAATTCTTTTCACCTGCTTGCCAAAGAAATGTGTGGACTTTTTTGCCCCTTTCGGCCTGTGCAGAGACCGGGGATTTTTTGGCTGTTGTTGCCTCAGGGCTTTTTTTTTTTAAGTGTCTTTTAAATTTATTTATTTTTTTCCCCTTCCTTTTATTATTTTTTTTATTTCTTTTTACTTTTTTAAATTTTTATTTTGCCTTTCGGGTTATGTTTTCTGGTCGGTTTATTTTCCTCTCCCCCCCCCCCCACTACTACAAATGAGCGTCCTCGTATTTCCGTAGCTGGTTTCTACCATATGGAGACACTGAATGACCGCTCTTGTGGCTCCAGCCTGGCTTCAGCTGCCACAGAAAAATAACCAGAGAGGCTCCAGTTTGCAGAAGGACCCTCCAGAGCTTCTGGAACCCACCTAGAGCTCCGAGGTTTCCTCTTCTCCCTCTCAGGGTGACACCGTTCTGGAAACGGCGGGGAATAGCTTTTTTCTTTGGGGAAATAAACAAGTTAGAGGGAAGGGCAGGAGAGCAGAGCCTGCCATGGAGAGGGGCTGCCATGGGGGTCACGTCCCCCAACTCTGAGCTGGGCCGGGCAGGTGGCCCCGCGGCCGCGCAGCTACAGCCAAATAGGCAACATAAGGCGCAATAAAGCAGATAGAGCAAAAAGAAGGGTGGGAAATAACCACCCTAAAGAGGTTGGGGGTTATTGAAAGCCAAGTCGCCACATCTACAGCAGAGCTGGGGGGGGACGCATCATCCACACCTGAACCAACTCCCATCGATCCCCCCCACCTCGCTCCTTAGGAAAAAAAGAGTTCAAAGCGGAGGTGCTTGGGGGGGGGGGAGTTTTCTAGAATTTGGAGCAGTCACAAGTTTCCTCCCCCCACACCTTTTTTTTTTTTTCTACGGTAAGACAACATTTGGTGGACACATGTCCGTCTCTGTTACACAAAGCAGAATGTCCCCCTTTAGCACCCTTTGGAGATTGCTTTTCCTTCCTTGGGCTGTTTTTCCTGTCCTGCTCCATGTGTCTCCTAATATCTTTGCTCTCATCATTTGAACTTCTGGCTTCTACCCGAGCAGGCAGAGGGTGGTCAGTCCAATCCTGACAAACCCCTGCTCTGAAAAACCTGCAAATTAATGCCAAAAAACCTGGGAACTGGAGGAAGGGAAGCAGGGTGCAGGGAGCCTTTCCTTTCCAGGAGACTGGTTTTATGCTGAGCAGCCTCTTCCTTAAGCTCAGCGCAAGCTGGACCCCTGCTTTTCGGTTGATAATAAAGATCTTTTACGGCTTTAAAAGGGCTTCAATGGCTTGGTCCTTAAGTGATAATTTAGCCGACGGGCTGCAGGGGGTTTGTCTACACGGGGTTAGAAACGCTTGGAGGAGAGGAAGAGTGGGGAGAGGTGTGTGATGGTGTTGGGGTTAGAGCAAGTGATGGCCTGCTAATTCCTGGCCCTTCTGAGCTTTGCTGTCGGCTAGAAAGGATTTCTACTTGTTCAAATGTCCCTGACCATGCAGGGGGTTGGAACTGGATGGTATTTAAGGTCCCTTCCAACCCAAACCATTCCGTGATTCCATGATTCTATGAAACACTAACGGGCGGTTTGGGCAAGAAAAGTGGCATCCCTCCCTCTTAATGTGTATTTGAAAATGGAACCATAGGTTCAAAGGACCCACAAACACTGCGTTTCCAAAGCATATTCATCCATCCCTGGATCCATGGATCCATCCATTCATCCACCTCCTCCCAAACTGCAGCACTGTCCCATCCTCACTTCCCCATTCAAAGGTGTTAATTTTGGGTATAGTCCCAGACAAACTTTCCTCCCAAATCCACTCTCATCACAGTAGGCGCAAGGGTTGTTTTGTTTTGTTTTGTTTTTCTTAAATACCACCTTTTCTGATAGCTTGGTGTGTAAAACATGTTATTTCATGTCACAACATGTTATTTCAAGAGGAAAAAACAGACCAGGGCAGCCAGAGTGAGGGGAACTTGCAATGCAGTTTAACTATGGAACGTTGCAGCCAGGAGATGACCCTGTGGGTGACAACAACCCCCTGTGCCACCCCCTTGGTTTGAGCATCCTGGGCACAGGGATGGCACCGGGCCTGTGCCACAGCCCAGGAGCAAGGGCTGCACTTTGTTGCTGGCACAAAAATGTCCTCTTTCCCTCCCGTTCCCATCACTCACAAGAAACCCTGTCCTCCCTGACCATGAAATCTGACTTCTACCTGTAGCACGGAGCTTTAATTTGTATTTATTTTTTTTCCCCATTACTTTGCTTGGCATTATATTATTATGATGGTTGTTGTTGTTATTATTACTATTATTATTGCTATTGTTATTA